TGATGTCGGAGGGGCAGGTAGGTATAGCTCCAGCCACAAGGAAGTTGACTGGCGCCGACCGCGCTGCCGCTGTCATGGAATGTCAAGCTCCAATTCACTTCCCCCACAGACATCACCAACAAGACGTGAACTCGGCATGCAAGTGATTCAACCTGCATCAACACCCCCGCCGCTCGCCGTTCGCATTCGGCGATGGTCTACGGAGCACTCCTCATGTGTTTCTCAAAGTGAGGTCACCGCCTTTGCTCGTGGCGGGACTGAAACGGAAAATTGTAGCATGAGAACGTTGACGCCCAAGCCTGAGCTCGGCGCACGCTGCTACACGGATCGAGCAGTCAAGACCGATATTTCACCACATTCTTGCATGAAGAGGCCGTATGAGCTCCATGCGACGGTCAATAGTTTGTTCTCCGCAAGGCCAGCTCAGAGACCTTTCAACTACTAGATGTAGCTTCGTCAAGTGACCAGCCATCCAATCCAGGTCGCTTCTAAGCGCCCGCTGAGCGCTTGTCATTATCATTGGTCGGTGGCACGATAGTTCTGCGTCCCCAATCAGGCTTGCTCCCACCTTCCCGCCTCCCGTCTTCGCGCGCGCCAGCCAGTCGACGCCGTGGACGCTCACAAAGGCCATGTTCTTCTTCCATGTGCTTAAATTAGATTCTCTTCCTTGTGTGCCTATTGGCCAGAAGACTTGTTCGTCGCTCGATGAATTAACCTTTTCGGACGGGGATGTGCTCGTTGTCTCCTCATCACTGCCTCCCATGCGCCGGTAGCACATCCCCATTCGGGCCAATGCAGTGTGTGCAGCAGGCGCGCTGCATTCAAAGTGCTACCTACTGACTGCAATGCATCATTCCAAAGAAGCTGTGCTGTCCGTCTTGGGTGCGCATCTCACCGTTCCGTCGTGCGTTTGTGTGTGCGCATAACGTGTTCGTACTTCGCAACCCACTCGCGCGGCCTACTAGTTAGCCGCCTCCCGCCCATGCTACTGATGATGAGCAAGGCCTCATCAGAGTATATCACTTGGCCCTGGCCAACCGCCGAGCCTCCTCTATTCCTCCCTTTCCCTCTTCTCATCTCCTTCTCCGTGTCATTGCTGTTTGCAAACTAACCTTTAAGGCTTCGTTGATCGAGGCAGCCTGTCGTTTACACGATTTTCCTACTACCATTCAAATAATAACATTCACCAACGCAACGACGCCGGCCGTCTTACGACCAAAGCTGTTTTGACACCCAACGTCGCATTTTGCCTATATTTATACCGTTACAGCACATAGGAACCGCAAGTCTATATCAGGATATCTGACTGCATAGGGGAAAATGGCTGAGATTATTCACTTACCCTCATCGACATACAGACCTCCCTCCCCTTCGCAGGCTCGGAGGCAGGGGAGGTCACTTAATACTATAATGGAGGAGGAGAGCGAGGATGTACAGTATGCCACCGACAAAAGGCAGCTTAGGAGCCAAACATCAAACCTCAACATTGAGGCCTGGCTATCGCCCCTGAGCGACCACTTTCCCACACCAAGAGGCTTCCACTTCCTCTCCGCTCCCATCTTGCCGTCATCGCCATCAACTGTATCGGCCGATGAGAGCAGCTCTCCCTCAACATCTTCAAACCCGTGGAACAACAACAGATCAAGCGTCATGACCGATGTCACCGAGTTTGACGACCTATACGATGTTACCGATGAGGATGAGCCAGCCTCGCTGCGCCGAGTACCATCTCGCAAGGCCTCCGTGAGGCGGCGCAACTCTAGTCGCAATGAGATGGCCAAGCAGAACGCGACTGGTGCTCGCAGAGCTTTGCCTCCCCTCGTCATTCCCGGCGCTCGGAACACTTCTACGGATGATTGGTCTGCTGCCAGTCTCAAGAAGACCCTCGCATCACCAGTGCCACCAACACCGCCAACTCGCGTCGAGATGTCTCCTCAGGTCTTTTCATTCATGCAGGCGAAGCAGGCCCAAGAGATCCCTACAATCTCGGCACCACCATCACTCGATGGCAGCCTAAGCTCAGAGCAGTTGGCACACATGTCAGCACCGCCAACGCCCATCATCGGTAGCGACAATGGAAAGGAGGAAGACTGGTCTGGTGTGCGATTGCAACCCGGCGCGTTGGCAACTCTCCACGCCCTCTCTGGTGATAACGAGAGCCTGCACGAGCACGATCATGACCACTCAGACCAGGTTCTCGAAATCCCCCAAGAGCCCATCCCCGAGATGCGCCAACAGCCTCTGCGCCTATTCACCGATATCCGTCCCGAAGCACCGCGCGCGGCCGTCCTTACCCCGAACTCCCGCCGTCAGTCCCTGGCCGATCTCACCAAACTCGACATCCCTTCCCCTGGCGGCTTCTTCTCTGGACTATCTCCCAGGACGAGGACAACATGGCACATGCCCGCGGCAAACATCGAAGATGTGGTGCTGCCAACATCCACCACCGCCGAGCAGTTCTACCGCTGCCCCTGGAACATGGACGCTTCTATGCCCCCAGTGCCGTCAGCACCAGCCAAGCTTATCATCAGCGATGCTGCCGAAGACTTCTACCGCAGCTCGGTCCCTTCGGCTTCCGCAATTGTAGAACAAATCATCGAGGTGGACAATGAGGAGATGGATGAGGATGACATGCCAACTGCCAGGCCCATCGTCCCCGCCAACGCCTCAAGCTCATCGGTAACGCTTGCTGAGCCAACCTCCCCCGACGCCGAAGATGTACCGACAGAGATTGTGACGGTCTACGACCCCGAGTACGCTCGCAAGCAACAGGAGGTTACCCTCTCAAACCTGGATCGCACTGAGCTCTGGCTCAGGGCCCAGCGCGCATACCTGAAGCCCGTCGAGGCTGCAGAGGAGACTGAGGAAGACAACAGCCTCGACACCATTCCCGAGGCTGCCGACGAGGAAGTTGAACACTTCCCTGAGCAAGAGATTCCTGCTTCTTTGCCCAGGAAGAAGATGGTCCGCTTCTCCGAGGTCGTCTCCAAGACCGATATCCCCCGCCGTCTGCCCTCCAAGCTCTCCAGACAGGAATCGGCCTACTACCGCGCCTTCCAGGATTACGTCGTCCGTTCCAGCAAGCAGGACGTCATCGTCCACCAGCTCCCTCGCTTCGAGGCCCTCCAGGCCCAGCGCGTATGCCTCCGCGAGTTCCACCGTAACCAGCTGCTCGGCAAGTACCAGCTCAGCGTTGTGCCCCAGTCCGCCAAGAAGCGCCTCAGTGCAAATGTTGCCCGCGGCGACGACATCCTCCACGACGACCCCGAGAAGCTGCGTCGCGAAAAGGAACACGAGGCCATGTCTCAGATGGCCATGCCCACCTGGCACGTCGCCGCCATGAAGATGCTCAACGGCGGCAAGCTCATCTCCGCCCCCGTCGCCAAGCGCCTCGGGCGTCTTTCCCGTATGGCACCTGGCCGCGACGGTGTCGCCCGCGACAGGGCCCGCATCCTGGATCTCGGAGGTCAGTCCGCGTGCGACTGGGCCTGGCACTGCGCCCTCCAGTACCCAAACACCAAGATCTACACCGTCACCACAAAGACGATCCGCCAGCTGTCGAACTCCAACGTCCGCGGCCCGCCCAATCACCGCCAGGTGGCCGTCGAGCGCCTGACCCGCCTCCCCTTCAAGGACGACCAGTTCGACCTCATCTCGGCGCGCGAGCTGCATAGCATCCTCAAGTTCGTCGGCGAGAACGGCGAAGACGAGTGGGAGACGTGTCTCAAGGAGTGCATGCGCGTGCTCAAGCCCGGCGGGTACCTCGAGTTCTCGGTCCTTGACTCGGACATCATGAACGCCGGGCCCATGGGCCTGGCAAAGAGTGTCGAGTTCGGCTTCGACCTCAAGACGCTGGGCTACGACCCCAACCCGACAAAAATGTTCCTTGGCCGCCTCTCCCGCGCGGGCTTCGATGAGGTCCGCCGCGCGTGGATGTGCCTCCCCATGGGCGCCCGTCCCCAGTCCCAACAAACGCAGGCGAAGAAACCCCTGCCCTCGCTGCCCCCGCTCGCCGTGCGGGAGAGCCCCGACGGCGAGGAGGTCAGAACGGTGCAGATGGAGGCCTTGGTCACTGGCAGCACGGATGGCGTCGCCAACGTCACGGGCATCGTCGGCGGCTGGAGCTGGGAGCGCTGGCTGCTGCGGTGCGAGATGGAAAAGGTCAGCGGCGAGCTGCGGCTTGCGGACACGGTGACGGCCGGCGCGGCGATGCGGGAGGCCGGCAAGAGCGTCGAGGGCGTCGCTGCCATTGTCGAGGAGGGACGTGGATGCGGCGCCGGGTGGAGGATGCTGAATGGTTATGCGAGGAAGCCCAAGACCGGCACGGGACTTATCTCTGTCGGTTTCGAGGTTTGAAAACATGCTCGCATAGAGTCGAGCTGATACCGAAACATCTTCTCTCCCTCTTTTATATATAAACTACACCCCCCATTTCCCTTTGTTTTCCCTTTCCTTTGTTCAGATGCAATGATGGCAGGATGGGAATATGAGTTCGGAAGTGACGGAAAAAATCAAGTACATGGTCATGGAAACGTATGTGCATATGGGCTGTAATGAACTTTGCGGGCGCGCGCGGCTGCGGTCAACAGGCGCTGGAGGCTTGTGCATGGGAACGGGGATACCGGTGGTTGACTAGATGTCGAGCACTTTGAATAGGCATGTTCTGATAGCTAAGTGATACTTTTTGACCTACTGGTCAGCAACCTTTTCTCTTGCCCTCACATGCAATGTGCTCCCTGAAATATTCGTCCAACCCTCTTTCCATGACAGACCAGTAAGTCTGAAGCTAGGGTGGTAGTTATCACCGAGGAGATGCTTCTGGGACAATGTTTGTCATCAAATAATCAGGCCACCAGGGGGCCTTTGGTATCGTTTCATTAATAAGTTAAGCTGTATCGAAAAGTATTACAAACCTGAGGGTATTTGGGGAAAGATGATTCCAGCCTATACATGACACATGAACAAAAGCAACGTCCCATCTACCCAACTCCAAATCGTCGCTATGGGTTGGTATCCATCTTTTCACCTGCGGGCGACCCGGTCTGTACGTTGATGGTATCATTGTCGCCCAACCGTTCCCTCTCCTCAACGCCTGATACTGAAGGCAGCACCGACGAGTCCCTAGGCGTCTTGGCCGACGTCGGTACGATAACGTTAAGAACGCAGTCGTCAAGATGTTCGTAGAATTCTTGAGCTGTTCCGAAATAACTCTGGCAGATTGAGCACTTGGCACCGTCTCCTCGGACATTGCCGGATCCGCTGATGATGAGCTTCCGGCTATTGGGAGGCGTCTGCTCAACGTTATGCACCGAAGTGAGATGTCGCTTGAACACGTCCGCACGATTGAACGCCTTCTCATATGCAGTGCCCACCCCTGGGCAGAACGGACAAACCATCGTCCCTTTGTAGTGTGTCAGTGCATGTCGATTCTTGTCATACTTGCGCGCGAATCCTTTCGTGTGGTACTCGCAAGTCTCTATCGGGCACTTTTCCGGACGTTCTTCTTGATGCGTAAGCATGTGTGCTGCAAGATCCTTGAAGACGCGGCCGCAATCTGGGTGAGGACACCGAGTCCGATTATCCAGGGTTTTGCTTGATGGGCTGCTCATCTGAGAAGACACCATTGACTCAGCGGGAGCTATCATCAAGGGGACAGCCGGCGGTGCTGCCGCTAGCATCGTTGGGCCGAATGTAGGAGATCGCGCAGGCGGTGGCGGAGGTGGTGCCTGGGTGAAATACTCAAGCGGCTGTTTGTAATCGGCCTCTTCCCCTCCACTCGAGTCGTCTTGGTCTTGAATATCAACAGACTGCCGCACCTCTCTCATCCAGTCCTTGAGAATGGTCATGGGCGGCCAATCGCCACTAGCCTTTCCGCCTCTGTGCGGGTTGAAATGCGCTCTCCGGAGATGCGCTGCCGCATTGTAGTAGGCCCCGTACCGTTTCTGCGTCACACACGCTTTACATTTTGCAAGTGGTATGACAGGTTGCGGCAACGTCGGGCTATAGGTATCTGGCTCGGTGCATACCCAACGCCTCACCAGTGAAGCGTGTTTGGCATCGGTATGCCTACGGAGCTCGTGTTCGCCTCTAAACCCTTCAGGGTACTCATTGCACTTTATGCAGTAGACGCGACGTAAAGGGGGCCGCTGATACGTCGGCCGCCCTCGACCGCCCGAGATTGGGGACTCCAAAGGCCTCAAGGGGCCTCGGGGAAAAGTTGGACTCTCTCCGACGGTATGCCTGCGGCCCAGAGCATCTATTCCTTGGGGCGAAGTAAGGTAATCCGGACCCATCGTAGCGGCAAATGGGTCTCGGTCTGATAGCGAGGCTGGGTTCGGGATCCAAGGATCGCCCAAAGCTCGAGGGTCGTGCATAGGACGTCTGGGTTCTTCGCTGGGTTTGGCGATGGGCGGAAGAACGAACATACTGGTGCGTGCTGGAACTCTTTGCCTGAGGAACCCGTTGAACGTGGCTGCGCCTTCCATGTTGCCATCTCCAAGATGTATTAAGAAGTCTTTGGAAGAAGCAAAACCCTGCTGACCCCAAGTGTCCTTTCTCATAACCATGTACAAGGAGTCTGTGATGGCTCTGTCCCGTTCATCAAGATCCGCGGTCTGTTCGTCGAGTAACATGGGCCCAGAACTTGCAAAGAGCGTGACCAGAAGCTTGTAGACGCTGTTCATGGCGTGCACACCGCCTGTCCCCCTCCAAGTTGGAGGAGTGTGCGATGATAGTCGTCTTGGCAGGTAAGAGGCAATATCCACCAAGATCGTACGCACAACGCTGAAGATGCAAAGTGCAATAAACACCGCGCACCAGCTCTTCGGGTCTTGTGGCCCCTTCTTGACCGTGGCACTCTCAAATGCCTGGAGGAACTGCGCCATGCAATTGTAGAGTAAACGATAATGAGCATCTTGATCGACTTCATCAGTAAATAGGGGTCGGTGGGGTGGGCCTCCGTCTAGGCGAATCGAAGGTTCTGGTTGTTGAAGGTCCCAGAACATGACCTCTCGCAGCAACAGTTTCGCTCGATACAACACTGGGAATACTGCTTCCTCCCTCTCTCTAGTGGCCGCGATTAGGCCGCTTGTCTTCAGAAGGTGGAGAAAGTTGTATGCAGTTCCTCCGCCATTCCAACTCGCTGTTAGAATATTCAAGATTGGCGGTGGCCGATCGATCGTTTCTCTAGGGTAGTGTGAAAGCGTAGAGTTGGCTAAAGGAAGATTTGCAAGTTCTTCCGTCCACCAGAACCCGTCATCAAAATCAAGATTTGCTTTGACCGCATGTAGTATGTCCGGTGATATGCGGTAGCTATTTTCCAGATGCTCGTTCATGCTTCTTCGCTGGGCTAGCGGAGATGTGATTGGAGTCTGTGATTGTCTTGGAGATACTAGAGCTTGTTTGTTAGGCCGGGCCTATTTCTCGTAGAACTCGAGTACTAACCTGGGAGCATGATGTCCGAAAAGGCGTCAAGGGGGCCACGATGACAGCCGATGGCCTTCCAAAAGTCACTGCTTGGACTAAGTGGCTGGTCCGCGCAATAATAACACGGCTCGTTCGAATCGCACTACCATTATGTGTCAATGAACCTACACCAAAAAGATGTAGTGGACTATCATTCTTACCGGTTGCTTAGTAGCCATACAGCGCAAGCATGGTCCAGAGTCTTGAAGCAGCCTGAGCTCGCCAATCGACTGGAGTCGAGACTGACCAACCCTACTACGTTTCAAAGGGGGCAGCAACGGGTCGACTTCGGAATCAACAGAGCCGCGTCCTGGAGCGGAATATTCACTGACTAGCGAGTAGGATTGAAGAGTATCTCGGCGTTCTTTCGGCTGGCCTGTTGTCAAAGGAGCTAGCTGGGTGCCGTGCGATGGCTTTGGGAGTTGGAGAGCCAGCGGCTGCTTTCCTGTCTCGGGGCCCCATGGTCGCAATGTCTGGTATTCGGGAAAGGAAATCGGCGGTGTATTGCCGACTGACATGCCCGAGTCGCGATGGGGGTGTAGGGTATGCTCTCGGGCATGATTGTCTCGCTCGTCCTTGTTGTGGAAGCCGTAAATGTAATGTATGCAGCGCTCGTCCCAGCACTTGAAAGAGGACGTGGACCGGGACGACGGTGACAAGCTTTCCCTCATCTTCCATCCACGGATTACCGGGTCGTGGCCTTCAAGATTACGGTCTAACCAAGCCGCATAGCCAGTCGGCGCTTCGTCATACAGGGATCGTTTAAGGGCATCAACCATGTTTGGGTCCAGCAGATCGTGGCCTAGAAACTATGTTAGAAACTGGCTGCGAGGCAATGTCTGAGCAGGACGGGAGCAATTCACCTTGCTCTAAGCAAGCAGTCTCTATACATTCGCATCGGTACTGCAATGACCTAGCCTCCTCAAACTCAGAATTGATTGGTATGTTGGCAGAAATATCTATGAGCATGGTTAGTCGGACGATTGAGAGGGGACCCAGGCAAGACATTATTGGAGCGTGGCATCTTACGGTGATGATCAGAGTAGGCTTGTAGAACCCGCAACTTGTGGCGGAGCATGTCAAGCTCCAACTTGGCATTGAGGCCATACTTTGCGGGCAGCAAGGCAGCAAGCCGTGCTTGAATCTCGGCCTGCTGATCGAGAAGTTGTCGGATGGCGCTATCGAGGCCGGGATCGGTGAGGTCGGCCGCCATTCCTCCCGGGCCACGAGGGCGTCCTCCTCCCACCAACGACGACGACAGTATGGGCGTACTCGAGAATTGTAGTGGACAAGGCGCAAGGAGAAATTGCACAAGTAGACATGAGTTGTCGTCTGCTCTGTTTCTCAAAAAGCCGTTTCGTTCACACGTCGATGTGAGTGGTTCGGGTGCATCAGATACAAGCTTTTAAGAATCGATTCACGCCGTTTCTCAAATCCTCTCTAGTTGTAGACGCAATGTGCATATCATCAGTCGTTGGGAAGGCGTCTAGGGGTGATGCTATCGATGTTTTGGCGTTGCTTTTTGTTGGCGGTTTTGCCGCGGGCGTTTTTTGTGTAAGATTGGAATGGAGTAGGCATGTATGTGATGGTCGGGTTCATGCTTTTTCTAAAAGATTGATCAATGGGTACCGGTTAGTATGTTGCATGCTGTTGCTCGCTTTTCTTCCCGGCATCCGCAGATCTTTCTCTATCTTTGGCGGATTCGAGTTATTTCCAACTTTTTTTTGCCTCATTCCCACCAGGGGTGGTTCGTCAGGATCGAGCGAGGTGATGTAAGGTACAACAAGCGAGACTTTCGCAGCTTGCTTGGATGAGCGGGACCCTTGATCGAGTTTCCATTCCAGTTCCAGGTCTAGCTTCAGGTCCAGATCTAGCTCCAGTATCCAGCTCCAATCCACAAGTGGCTGAGATGTCAGCGAGCGAGAGACAGGTGGTGGTGGTAGCTGCTGCTGGTATGCGGTCTCCGGTTTTGTTTCCGATGCAAGCTTGGTCCTCACTGCCGCTCAGGTTTCCGTCTCTATTTTGGGTCGTCCTTGGAAGAAGAAACACACAGTGCACAGGCGAGACGAAGGAGAGAAGAGAGAGAGGGAGAGGGAAGAGGAGGAAGAAGAAGAAGAAGAAGAAGAAGAAGAAGAAGAAGAAGAAGAAGAATGATGCAGAGAGATTGTGAAGAATTGGACAGGCCGGAAAGAATTCAGGGCAGGAATCTCGGTATGGTGGGTTTGAGGGTCGGATTTTGGCGGGAATGGTCTGAATAGCGAGTGAGAGCACCGTACCCGATCGCGGTGCTGGTGTGCTCCTCCCTCATTGGGGAGACAGGACCTTTTATTGCCTTGTTACCAGGCCAGGGTTCATTTGGGGAAGTGGGGCTATCGTGGCTAACGGTCTTGTAAGGTAGATTAGAGCAAGATATGGAGCAGAGCAACGCGACGGCGAGCAAGCTGCAAGTGCAAGAGAGCAGCAGGGCAAGGGTGGAGAGAGAGAGGCGACGTGATGCTGGTGTCCCGTCGGAAGACAGAAAAAAAAAAAAAGGGACCCCAGCTGGGTTCTAGTTTGGACCTGGAAAGGGAGGGGGGGGGGTGGTTTGATTACAAAATTGAGAAACGGTGCCACAGGGGAGACGACGGGTTGAACGGCGGACAACAGACAACAGACAATGTACGGATATTATTGTTGATGGTCCGGCCTGACAAGTAGATGGCAAGGACACCGTGACAGAGGCTGACAGAGAGGAAGAAGAGGGTGAGAAGGCAAAAGGGAGAAGAACACCAGAAGAAGAAAAAAAGAAAGAGGCTGGATGCACCCACTCTACACGCAGCGTAGCAGTTTGGGGGACGAGGATGGGGATGAGCCCAGGACGATGAAGACCAAAGACCAGGACGGGTGAAGAGCAGCGACAGGTCCAGCTGGGATCTGGCAGGGTGTCTTTTGCTTTGCCGCCTTGCGCAAGCAGGCAATTGGGTAGAGCAAGGTAAGGAAGGTACCTCATCCACAACACACCTCAATTACCTAAGTACCTCGTTGCCTTCCTTGTCTTTGGACCTTGGGTAAAGCGTAGCTGACAGATATGGTTGGCTGTGAGGCAAGCACACGGTAAGATATCCCAAGGCCTGGAGGGATTATGGGTGCTGATGATGGATATGGATACCTTATGGATATGATGACGGGACGGAATAGCTAAGGAAGGAAATAAGGAAGGTCTTGAAACTGCCATATCCGTACCTTGCGAAGTACGAGGTAGCCAGCTGCCTCACCTCGCTTCTTTCATAAGGTACCTACCTACCTTTACCTTATGTTCCATCCCATTGCTAATAGTCCTCTTTCCCATGTCCATGTTGCACCTTCTCCCGATCTTCTATCTCTTTCCTACCTATGTCAGGTACCTGCTCTAAGGTAGGAGGGTCAGTAGGTAGTTTACTCCTTGCGCTCTCCTCACCTCCACCCTTCCGCCCCTTCCCCAAGCATCGACGGAATGCACATCACTCGCGAGGCAGGTACTGTACTTCCAAGCCCCAAGCCGAGTAAAGTAATGTACGATACCTCACTTCAGCCTGTCACGTAAGGTAAGGGGCTGTGTGGCTGTGGGTGTTCAAACTTGACCCATAGATCTCACTGATACCCGCAATGATTGTGACCAACCTAACGTCCAACCCGTACTCCGTACTCCGTACCCTTCAACGTTTGCCTCCTGCCGGCCCTGATTCCGTCGAGCCCTTCAGCAACTTCCCTCTTTTATCTGACCCCTCCCATCCATTCCGCCCGCTTCTTCTCGTCCCTAACTTGCCTCACTAGTATACCTTGCTGTCCGCCACTTGAGATAACCCTAATGAACCGCTTGCCTTCAGCACCAACACCTTATCCTTCCCGATTCAGTTGATTTCGCCAACCACAGACACCACCGTAGACATCAGCTGCTCCCCAAAATTCGACTACCTCGCCACGGGATATCCCTGGATCTTGTATCAGGGGCCTCCCGTCCCAAGGATGAGTGAGGTACTTTACTTCCTAATCAGGGCACGTTGTTCCTCGTCGTACCTTATGCCTGCCGGCGCAATCATCACCGGCATCATTCCATTATCTGCTTCTGCACTGACGAGCCCATGAACAGCACCAAACAGTGTCATGGACGGTCGTATTTCTCCTTTTCTCTAGCCTCGGTGCCGCTCTTTGACAGCTACCCTTCACTACGCGAAAGGTACAGACGACTACCAATAGTCCATCCTTCTCCATCTCGCTGGATGCACTGTGGGAGACTTCGGCCGCCATCCGACCGATGTTATCCAAGGGTCTCTCATTGTACCCTCACCGTACCTGCGCATCCCATCCACGGCCGATCAGACACCATGGACGGTATGCTTACCTTGCCCCATCTTGGCTCGCCTGGCAATGCCGTCCCTATCGTCTTTCTGTTTCCACGATCAGCCTGAGGTGTTTATGATGCTCTCAAAACTACCGGTCTCCTAATTCCTTTGATCCCTCTTCTCTCTTACTCCCCCAGGAAGAGTCGATAGTCGACCAGTGGCAACACAATCCGCATAACTGCGCCATGGTCATTGCTGGATCTAGCAGGTAAGGCGAGGGCGGACTTATCGAGCATATGTTGGCCTCGCACGCCTTACGCCTCTTATCAGCTCCCCCTTCGGCCTTACCTCGCCCGTCTCCCATTCAATGACGCCCGTCTTGGAACCGTACCGCCCTCCCCTCCGATTCGCAAGGGGGCATGGGCCACAACCAATGCACACACCCCGAGTCCCCGTTGTCTGGCATCCCACACCCCCGCCTCATCCCAGCTACTTCCCTACCAAGTTACATTAGCCACTTGCTTGACTGGTTAGCTTCCTAACTCTTTTGAACCAGCAGCTCGCAACAGACCGCGTTTCTGTCCCTACTGCCTTCAAGCCGCATACCGTCCCCGTGGTCGCAGCGCAACCTCGAGCTGCTTTCATGATGACTGCTACTACGTACATCACGGCATCTCGAGCTACTGCGGGCTGTGGAGAGAGAGAGAGGAGAAGGAGAGGGACAAGAAGTTCACAGCCGTTGTGTCGTTGAGGGGGGTGGTCAGCCGCCGCACACACTCTCTCTCAGTTAACCACAACCAGTCTGGCACATTTGCCTTCCACCTCCAACCCCTTGAGCCTCGACCTGTCCCATGAATCCTACTCTTACCTTCTGGTAGGGTCTTCTGGTAAGTCTTGTTCTTTATCGCTTTATTTCCCGCCTTGCGAGTGGAGGCGCTGAGGAAAAAGGCAACCAGAGAGACTGGCAAGTGAGGGCCTCTCGGAGAAAGATACTACTTACCTAGTGTGTGTACACAGTACTTTCTTGAGAGCCCAGAAAGCTCCATCCAACGGGTTCATGGGGCCCATGAGCCTGGCTGTGGGCGTCGACGACGTGGGGCCGCTTGCGCCATCTCCGACTCCCCGACCGCCGGCCGCTGGCCCCAAGTCAAACAAAAGCCGACTAGTAACAGGGAGAGAAAAATATCAGACGAGACCAGACTAAACGTCTGTTTAGCCTTACTGTCTGTCCGTCGCCTCCGTCCTGTTTGTGTACCCTTCGGCTTCGTCTCGAGCCAGTCCGTCTGCTCCTCGCACGAGTCTTGACGTCTGTCAGCTGCATTGGCAGCCCATAACCACTCGCTGCCCTGACCGTTCAAGCTTTCCCTTCAGTACTTTAGCGAGTAATCTTCCTCGCTGGCGAGAGCTCAACTACCGTCTACGAGAGCTCGCTTCTATGTCGCAATTGTGTACACTACGCAGCAGCCCGCAATGCGCTCCATGGACTGCTGAGCCTGGCCTGGCCTGGCCTGGCTTTCCCTTAGGCTTTTCGCTCGGTAGTGCAAGCTTGCAACGTCAGGTTCTATTCGGGTTGGGGGCGGTTCTCGAAGCATCACGCGAGTGCAGGGGGATCCCTCTGTGGGCAAGAAATTGCGACATTTCCGCCTTGCCTGCCAGTCTGCGCAGTCACCAGCCTGCGCAACAGCTCTCCGCCGCAGCTCTTAGAAGACAGCCCTGGCTGGTCTTCGCCTCGAATCTCATCTCGCTCTGTCTCTCGACGACGCGGGTGTTTCCCGTCATAAGCGCACTTAGAAGGCACCTAGAGCCAAACCCACGTCTCTATGACCACGCCCACGCCACACGGGCCAGCTTGCTAGGCTCCACGTGGGCCATGGAGTCCGTGGTACGATGCTGGGGGGCAGTCCCGGCAGAAACAAGCATGTGCCGAGTCACCGTTACAACCTGCAGATAGCTGCTGCGGGTGACGGCGAAAGGGGTGGATCACAACCACTGCTTGCTGAGAGCAAACCTGCCATTAAAGCAGCGACAGACATGCAGCGTCGACCGTCACACGGCGGATGGGGTTGGCCGTGCCAGGCTCTCGGCCTTAGGCCTGACAAGCGGTCTCTCGATCGAAGCACGACGACTGGACGGACGATTCTCTTGGAACCCTTCCCATGCCTCCTTTCCCCCCTCCATTTCCTGCCGCTATCCTCTTGGACGAAGTCAAAAGTCACTTGGATGGAGAATGTGCGAAGCAAGATATTGGACAAGTCGCAATGCTCTGTAATCGTACAGAACGTCTCGGACACGAGGCCAACTTGACCACATCCTTTCTTTGCAGCAGAAGGTCTGGTCCACAGTCGTACGCGTCGGTTCATCATCTAACATGGTCAAGACAACTTACTTGAAGAGCCGAAAACTCTCCTTGGACAACACTACTAAGCGATATGAAGTTGGCCATTGCACACAGGGGAGAGTTCAGCCCGACTAAGAGGGCCCGCAAGACATCGAATAGACCCTGTTCACGGTGAAGGGCACGTAAAGTTCAACAATACTCAAATGTTCGCGGCTTGAACTGCAATAGCACCATGGTTAGACCATGATGCCCTGGTACGTGCTCATGGCTCGTTCGCCATGGCACATGAGCCGTGTCTTGCCATGAAGTCAAAAAGTTTTCCAAGGTAAGGATGTCGCTAGATTTTGAGTTGTGGTTGATGAATGCAGGAGATGAGCACGCAGTCCATACTGCGTATACCCGTCACTGCCCGTACCATACCTGGCAACCCTAGCATCCTCCTGGCCGGTTGAATTGGTATCCAGAGGTTGCTATTTGGCATTTCCGGAACGTTAGTTGGTCGGACGTTTTTTACCGTACGGCAGACTTTGTATCGACATGAATAACCCCCCGATGAATCTCGGGCCATCTGCTGGCTCTGGTTCGGTCCTGTGGGGGAGTTCATCCTCCTGGCAAGCCAATTAGTTCTGGCCCCCGGCAAGTAGTAGGTATCCTGATCCCTGGATCCGGTACCGAATAAGACATCATCGTACAGGACGACAAATTAGTCAAATAAGCCGCGTGAACAGATGGCAACGTACCCCAATGCCAAGTAGACGGCCGAGGAGTCTCATCAATAATAATCTGGCAATCTGTCAGGGTCACCTCGGGCGCGGACACGTTTTCGTAACCCTCTGGCAATTTAGACGTTCCGCCAGATTTGATTTTCGAAGAGGCACACCGGCGAAGCCTCCACCCGTTGTTTCGATCTGCTAGTTCCACGCGCGTCAGAAGCAGCACGGTTGGCCCAGCGGCTCCAGCCTTCGAAACGAAACCTCTGCAAAAGGACAACAGGATGGGATGGAAAACAGCGGAATTACTGCCCCGTCACCAGGCTTCCTAGTCTTTTAGGTTTCTCGTCAATCTTGACTACCCGCCTGTCTCATTCCGACAGAGACACGAGCGAGGCAGTGGGCTGGCTGCCTCTCGAGCCCCTCCTCGATCTCCACGGTCGACTCGACAGATCTCGATTGGACAGCGCGTACCCGCGAGCGAGTCGTCTGTGTCACTGTCAGTGCTGTGCTGCTTGCCGATGTTGTTATTATACGCAGGCATGCAGTCTTATGGCCATACACTATTGCTGGTTTTGAGCATCTTTTATACTCAGCCCTAAACAAAATACCTTTTGCTGTCGTTGATTGTGTGTCTAGGTCAGGCAAGGTACGGACGGCGTGAGGTTGCCAGGTCCTCTAGACACCCCGCCTCCAAACGCCAGCATTCGTCTCGTCCACGATCAATAAGTTTGGTCTCTGTATCGGCAACGACGCACTGATGACAATATGGAGGGCACAGAGATCGATCCCCATCAAATGCCCAGACGCCAGAGATGTGGTCAGTGCTGAGGCTGAAAATAATGAGGAGAGAAGGAAGGGCAGGGTGTGTGCAGCTCTGCTTGTCCAAGCTCTGCCCCCCCCCCCCTCCTCCTCTCTTTGTCTCTGTCTCTGTCTCTCTATGTGTGTGTGTCTCTCTCGCTGTCAAGGTATCCGTATCCGTAAGGCAGGAATGAATGAGAACGGGAGCTTGGAAGGGGTGAGTGCGTTCCATTCTAGGGCAGGGTGCTCCGTACACATACAGACTGACAGAGTACGAAGTAATACGGGTAGGTACGAAGACGGGTAAGGTGGGCAGAATTTCCTCAATTTTAGCATGTGCTTGCAGCTCGCAGACATCACACACATACGACGCTGCGGACCACATATGTTGCTTTCTTTTTGTATTTTTCAATACTGACTCTATTGCAGCAGTTCTTATCCACTTACTTGACTCGCGGCAGGCAAATGGACAGACGGTGGATACTGTACACTGTATGGAGTACCAGAGGTTGGATACTGCGTAGGTATGGATAGACCATACGGATTACCTAGATGCGCAGCTAGAGAGAGAGCTCTGAGCTTCCGCCCAGCGGCTATGGCCCACAGCGCGCCCAATTCAATCCGTGTGGCTGGTAAGACGGTTTGGATTTTGGGGGCCAAACGGGGGGGGGGTCCAGGGGGAGGGGGGTTTGAGGTAGGTTGCCGTCGTCTGCTCGCCCGGAAAGGGGACCTTCGGGTATCCTGGGCCCAGTTCGGGGGGCCACGAGGGGTGGGCTATTGAAAATACCTTGCTGCCAAACATGTTTCTCGGACTTCAGTCTAAATCGGGTCCAACTCTGGGTTGGAGACTTGGAGTCAGTCTCGTCTTGGAGTCGTTCTTGGAGGCTTTCTTGGGGTCGCCTAGCGCAGGAGACTGAAAGCATGATCTCCTTGGCAGCTTAGCAGCATCTTCTTCGACCCAAGTACACTACTTAGTTACCAGGTACGTCCGTATCTTCATTATTTGAGGTATCTCACACCATGTAGCCCGAATCCCATTTTTCCTTTCGAAATTGATATTTCTTTTGTTGGTCAGGAAAGCCAGTTTTTTGTTTCTCCTAACTCTCGTTCTTTACGTGGTATTTGATGGATTATATATGAAGAAAACTCCCGTCTAACCCCTCCCCCAAACGCCCCGGAGCTCTGTCCCGGCCTTCGTCGAGCTCATGTTGAATGACGCCGGCCCGTACCGATATTATGCTTCGCTTGCTTCAATCCATTTCTGTTTCGCAGTTGAGGTGGACGTCCAGAAACCGTTCCTCGCCCAAAAAGAAAGAAAAAAACCCTCCCTGGCAAGCTTATTTTCTCCCTCTCTGTTTTGTCCCTCTGGGACTAGCTGCCTTCAGATCTCCATAGCCTGCCGAATCAAGTCCGATGGTACCAAAGCTTGCACTTCACTCCAGTTGCTCCCAGCGTCTCTCACGCAGGGGCTTCTCTTTGCCGGCCGCGGCTCTGGTACCCTCTTTCTCTTCCTTCCACGCCCAGTACTCGGCGAGGCGCGTTTCCGCATACGAGGCGTAATCAAAGTCGATCTCCGAGATGACGGCTTGGATCAAAGCCCAGATGCCCCAATAGAACCCCGGCACGCCGCGGAATAGGTCCACCTCGTGTGTGAGCTTCCGGACCTCCGCCTCGACATCAACATTTGTGTTGTTCTCGGAGTATTTGTAGAACGAGCGAATGTACTCCTCAATGAACTCTCGACGCTGGGACTGGGTAGGCATGAAGTTGTAGTCGCAGTCGAATCCACCCCACTCGGCCAAGTGGTTGGCGATATCGAACGCGGCTGGTGACGGCGTGGCATACTCGTAGTCGATGAACGTCACTGTAGCCTCCTTCTTGGGGCCTTTGGCGGGTTGGGTACTCGGTAACACGATCACGTTGCCGCTCAGCAAATCGCAATGGGCAAAAACTAGCTGTTACGAGATAACCATTAGCAACTGTATAGGATCTTGGCAGCTCTATGTGACTTACGCCATCAACACCTAGACCGGGGCGTTGGCTGAACTCCTCCACAATGTATTCAAACTCCTTCTGCAGCTTGTCTTGTCTCTCCCTCTGGACCTGTGTATCGCTGGGTAGGGCCAAAATCCATTTTTGCATCACTGACCATAGGTTCGGCACAGGCTTCCCAGGTGCAGCGTTCTCGATGATGGCATTCAGGTCCTGATCGTGGCCCTTGGCGTTGCCATTGGTAGATGTCTGGTGTGTAATGCAGGGCACAGTCGCGTGCCACTGCGCTAACCTGCTGGCGACGGCTCGATAGATGTGTGGCTTCCTCAGGTCCTCCGGGGCTGTGACGCTGCCCTTGATAAATCGGTAGAGCATGCCATTCTGGAATCGGGCGAGCAATTCGGGGGCAAGGCCGTGCTTCATGAGAAGTTCATGGTTCTGAGCTTCGCGCTCGCGGTCGATGAGGACAGCGGTTCCATTTCCATACGCGCGCAACAAGATGGCCTCTCTGTCTATATCCTCCTTGGACCAGCCCTTTCGCTTGTTGATGGCTTTGAGTAGGGTATTGGTGATGCCGTCGGTGAAGCGAACGAATTCGATGTTGGAGTCGTCGGAGGCCCAGTCTGGTCGAACAGTCAGGATTAGACTAGTCGCAGATTGCTGAGAGTCTTCGCTGTCGTAGAAAAGGGGAAGTGTTCGGACATGGGGCAGCGCCGACCCGTTAGGGTGGCCGTTGCTTGCACCTTGGGTCATGATTTGACCGAAGGGATGACCGAACTACGTGGGCGAAGGAAGGGATGGGTATGTCGAAAGGGCAGGGACAATACCGAAGAGGTCAATCGCTGGATGAGGAGGCCCCTGTGGAATTCGGCGGTTTGTTCAGTCGCTGGTGTTGTGCGACCTTGGCACTCTGGATGATGGCAGAAAGGGGCTCACGGCTGTCTGCGAGACGTCAAGGGGTAGTGAGGATAGCGAGGCTATTCAGGAGAAGAGAGGAGAGGTGCAGAAGGCTATGAACAAAGCGAGATACGGATAGTAGTAGGTCGATATGTTGGTGGTTCAGGTGTGTAGGAAGAAGAAGCAGGAGTGGGAAGAGAGGAAGGTGGGTATTGTCGGATTGATATTGGGAAAAAGATGAGGACGAGGGGGTATTGGGTTTGGGATTGGCGCCGTCGAGATAATGGTGGCCGAGCACGAGACCTTTTTCCTTCCTCGTGCGGATCCCCAAGGTGTGAAAGAAAAAGGCAGTATCTTTTAGAGAGCACCCAAGTGGTAGGTGGCAGTGGCTCTTGGAATGATGTGGTGCGTTTGGTAGTCTAAAGTGAGATTCGCGTTGGGGAAATTACGGTATGTGCGAGTGGCTAATCTTCTTTTGTCGTCGGTCAACGAATTGAGGAAGAAAATCAGAAGGAAAAGGGAGGACTGTGGACACTGGACAGAGACACAGAGAGACACAGAGACGG